TTGTTGAACGAATACATATCTACGTTACATGCCTAAAGTTTACAAAAACCAACTCAGTGAAATTGGATTACAAATTTTACCTTGTTGGATTCTTATATGGATATTTGGATTACAAAAGCTGACAAATAAAGAGATGGAAAGTTATGTTTTAATACATTTGTTGCCTTTAGATGCACGTTTTGGGTAATACTCTTTTAGTTTTAGAGTTCATTTTACATACAATTTTTCAAGTACCATAACTAGCTTACAAACTATCGGTTAGTAAGCTCAATTGAAGTGTAATATGTTTAACGTTTTAGTTAAGTCACACTACTGTGTTTAAATTATCAAAATTTGCCCGTTCTGTTGAAATGCGATGTAATTCATATAAAGTCAGTACAATAACCAACCCCTTTACTGTCTTCACACTTAGTTGAAACGCAATACAGAGTATGAATGTCGTACTAAATATAAGTAATTACTTGGTTTAAAAAAAATAAGTGCATAAAAAGGTAAAATAAAAATTCAACAATTAAAGAAATAAAAATATTTTATATTGTAAATTACCATTGTTAACTATAAATTCTAAAAGTTGATATTGGTAGAAAGGCCATGCATCGAGTTTGAAGAGGGGGAGGAGAGCTTACAAGCACAGCAACAGCTCAGGCCCTCAAACATATGCACATATAAAGAATGTCCGAACTTTAAATTATCCTATCTTAAATGTTAAGCCTTCACAAAGATAATTTCCGTTTGACGGCGCTATTGTTTCAACACGTGTTTTCGTTACCTACAGAAAGCAGCTGATGGTGATGTTAACAATAATTTACAGTTTTTAGACTGACAGATAAGAAGAGGCCAAGTATGAAGTTAAACCTTATATAGCAATAACTGACCATATGTTGCCTGTTGGGATGTTTTAATTTTTACTAGCCTTACGTAATATAACGTGTATTACAGGAAAGTAATTTTATACAATACTTTATTCGGTACCAGATTTATTTTCAACCACAAGCTAGAGACCATACTCTATTCGAAACAAAGTATGTATATTCATTATTATACACTTTGGGGCCTAAACCCCTCCTCCAAGGCATTTCGTAATTATAATTTCATTAATGAGTAGAATGTACGATTTGTTCGGGCCACGTGCTGGTTTTTCGTATTATCATAAATTCGTAAATGAATAAAAAACAAGGAGAGCATACTTACTCAGTTATTCTGCACCTAAAACCCCCGTCATATACAACAAAAACCTAACCCACTACCAACAACCAGTGATATGGCTACTAATAGGTGTTCTCAGGTATAACTTAAAATTAAAAACAAAAAAACTTAACACATCAACGGCACGCATAAAAGTTAAATATTTACAGAGACTTTAAACAAGTTAGTAATGTCAGTGTTATGGGTTTCTGCGCGAATGGAAACATTATGAAACTCATATGACAGTCTATAACTCCACTTAAGATGGGGTTTCCATTTATCGCGGTTTGACCAGAGAATCACAGTTTTTTGGATTTTCGATTTAACCTCCAACAATATGTGGAAATACAAAGGAGTTTTATATAATTTAATAAATATATAACATTGTTACTTTTACTTTTATTTTTTAACTTGGCCTTATTTTTGAAATCGACACTATGACTAGGATTTACAGAAATTTTTCCAACGTTGTTTACTTAACATCACTGAGCATCGTAACTCAT